ATCTAGAACATTCTGGCCTGGGTGTTTCAGCTGAAGCCATAGCATTGCACCCCTCAGAGAATTTATATGGCCCCTGCCATGTGAAGGGGCTGTCATTTCACTGGAAGTTTCCCTCACAACAAACAGTGCTAAGAAAGTTCTGTTAAGATCTTTTTAAATATCCTGAAATGCATTACCTTTTACGAGGCAAAGACCCCTATAAGAAAGGCATCCAACTGGGATGCATGATGATGAACAGCATGTTGGTATCTGTGGCAATGCTGGACTTCAGAATTTAGGCTTTGAAATGTGCAAGATTTACCAGTTCTGAATTATAATGTCGTGGGTATGGGCACATATATTGAAGCCAGATCGAATGCAGTCAAAGTCCAGCCTCCCTGCAGTGGTGACAGTGGTAGTATAATTTGCAAGTCATTTGTGAACACACATCTCTAAAACAGTACCACTTCACAGCCATGTTATGGTGATTAAACCAGATAACATATATGCAAAAATGTAAGCAGTGCATAGATCTTTATAGACATTCAATAAATATAATATATTTAGTACTGTGGCAGGTAGTTCAAAGCCCCCCCCCCTTTTTGCCTTAGGTTCTTCAACCATGACACAATGGTAACAGGGACTGCTGCCTCTTATGGTTGTGGCAGTCCTTATGGAGATGACAAATGGAAAATGTAAGGTACCGTTCCTAGCAAATGTCAGTGACTAGGGATTCTGTTACTGTGGATTATCATCCTCTCCTGTTTCCCCTTTGATCTTGGAGGAAGGATTATCCTCATGTCTGTTCACACCTGTAGGTTCACAACTCCAAGTCTACCATCTGATGATTCTGCTACTTTGAGAAAGAATGGATATTAGGAGGGACATGCAGACAGATGGAAAGAGCTCCACTAGGTCAACTGGGTGAAGAATTGGAAAAGGCAGAGTCATAGTGAAAAGCTTCACATTTTTTTGTGCTGCTTCAAGATGGTACATGTTGGGTAAAAGGAGTATTTATGATTGAAAGTCCAGAGCTTGCAATATTATGTGTGTAGATCACACTGTGAGCCTGTGGCCAGTCTGAGTAACTTGCCTTTAGTTTGCCTAAAAGTTCTTGGAAATCTTAGCTATGGGAAATGTTAGGTTTATTTCAGATTTCCTTAAAAACTGAATGTAATTACTAATGTGAAAAATTTGTTTGTTTGTTTGTTGTATTTTTTTGAGACAGGGTCTCACTATGTGGTTCAGGCTGGCTTTGGGCTCACTTTGTAGCCCCGGCTGGTCTTGAATGTGCAATGATCCACCTCCTTCAGCCTCCCAAGTGCTGGGATTACAGGAATGTGCCACCATGCCCAGCATTTTTTTTTTTTTTTTTGGTACTGGGGATCAAACTCATAAACTTGTACTTGCCATGCAGGCACTTATCCCACTGACCTAAGTTCCTGGCCCCAAAATGTTTAAAAACAGTAAGAAGAGAACGGAAAACTATCTACATGTAATTTGCATACATATACTGCAGGCATGTTCAGGTGTATAGAAAAAGGTAGCCACTTTATATGTTGAAACATTTTGCTATAAATTAAAATGTGCTAACAGGCATAAATTTGAGTAGAGATTCACTGTCATGCAAACATTAAACATGCTAATTTAGTTAATTCTTATAAATAAGTAACCAGGGATCATGATTTTCTTTTATAGATGAAGATGAAGAAATACAGACTCAGAGAGATTTAGAACTATGATCAAAATCTACTAGTGAAAACAGATTTTAGATTTCTAGTCTATATTAGAGAGAGAGAGAGAGAGAGAGAGAGAGAGAGAGAGAGAGAGAGACAGACAGAGAGAGGGAGAGGGAGAGAGAGAGATACCTGCGGCTAACACATAAAAATCTTAGTACAACTCAGGGATGTAAGAAATACAACTTTTTGTATACATATAAATTTACCTTCCATTTAGGCTCTGCATCGTGTTTGGTGGCAGAAATACAATCTTAGCTGAATTTATATCATTTTTCTTGAGGTTGTAGCTAATGTTAAGGGACTTAGACCCTTCATCCTTAATGCTGAATAATTGTGAATCAGCTTGTGTAGACATACTTTGCTTTTATGCAGACCATGCTACTTATCATCAAAACCAGATTCTTTCCGGAAAGAAAGGAAGCACTGTCAGGCACAGATGTAAAGCACCTTGACCTAAGGCCAACCCCATGTGTGGTCATTGTATGTAAGTCTTTCTGAAAGAGCTCTTCTAGCCTGGCAACTGCCTCAGTGTTTTTGCACCATGCCAAGCTCACAGTGCACATTGTGTAAAGTGAAAATATTACCAGGCGTCTTTCCACGGAGGTGCTGCAAACATAACACGGCTGGCTGCACCAGTGTGGAGGGACTGCACAAGTACCCTGCACTGAATGTATTCTTTGTCTCCTGCTTTGGATTCTACTGGGCTCCGGAAAGCTCTGTGAGGCTGCCTGTGTCACCCCGTGAATCCTTTCATACCCTAGGTCTTGGTCTCCTCCCTAGACTGTCTGTACAGAAGGTCTCTTCTGTTCTCTGTGTCTATTTTGGGCTCATCAAAGCCTTATAAAGGAGGTAAAAGAAGTAAAAAAGGAAAGAAAATACCCTGTAACCTGCTGGCTCTTATTCTGGGTAGGCTCTGTTCCAATTGAACAGTTCGCAGGCATCTTTTCAATAGCACCTGGTTCATCATCCAAGCACTATCCATCACACAGCGGCACCATTTCAAGGTTTCTTTTAGAGAAGAGACAAAGTGTGGATTTATAGAAACTCATCCCAGCAGCCGTGTACATCGCTTCTGCCCATACGGACTGGAAGGCATCTAAGAAGTGCTCACCAGCAGGGCTCAGAGTTTAAAAGTGAACAGCTAGATTTCTGTAAGCACTTGTGTGTGTGGCTGTCCAGTGACGGTCCCTGTCTGTGTCAGTCACTTTGTGGTTTTCTTCTTTACTGCTGTGAGTTAATTGGAGAGGAGATGAGGGTTAGGAGAGCAGATTTGTCTGTCTTCTGCTCTAAGATGTTCTCTTAGCTTTTTTCTTTGAGAATTTATGTTTTAAAAAGCAAAGACAGTAGCATTGAATTCCTCCTTTTTTCTATTCCTCCTTTGGGCTATTTGAATCTGATTTGTGTTTCTAGGAGTCCCAAAAATGGGAGCAAGGACCTATCAGAAAATGTTATTAATATTGTAAAAGCATGATTCCAAACTTCTGCGCCACTGAATTTCAACTACTGTGAACTGGCCTATTTCCACAGTGAAAACAGAAATGTGGCATTGTGTCCTTCTCTGAAACTGTACCACTTGTGTTTTCAGATCTTAAGGGCATTGTGACAGCACTGTGGATGACTCACTGTACCCTGGCATGCTGGGAGAGACTCGGGAGCACTGGTCGCAGACAAGGTAGGTGTGAAATTTGAAATCTGGGTGAATTCCCAAGGTCAGCAGGCAGCTTTGAGCAATTCAACTTTACAAGCATAAATAGCCCATTTTGTTGCTTCTATATAATTTGCAACAATTAACATTTTCTAATGCAGGAAAATAAATTTCTTACTGAAGGGGCCAGAGTGACTTGGAGAATCTGAACCATATTTTCCTGAGAATGGTACAGTGTAAGGTGGAAACTCCTTCATGGCGGTATCCCAGAGGGAGGCAAGTACAGGAGGGAAGTGAGGGAGGGATCTGCTAAGATTCAGGAGCACAGAGAAAAGCAAGAGGGCGGTATAGTTCGCAGATGGAGTCAGAGAACGCATCCTGACCTAGAGTTCTTGGAGGTGGAAATTCACTGGGGACAGAAGAACACATTTTAAACTACAAGAACGTGGTTTAACCAAGTTATCACAGAATGCCACCATGACCTGTTCGGGACCAGACTATGTAGCAAGAAGTGAACCAAAGCTTTGTCACTCAAAGTGAGCTTCTTGTCACTCAAGCCAGCCCTGTGCTCCACCTCCTGTGAGATCAGCAGCAGCCTCAGTGTCTCATAGGAGCATGAGGTGTACTGAGAGTCGCACACACAAGAGATGTTAAGTTTTGAATTATTTACTTATTTTGTTTTGTTTTGACAGAGTTTCTGTGAATTCTAGCCTGAGCTTGAAGTAACTGTAGCCTTAGGCTAGCCTCAAATTCATAGTGATTCTCCTGCATCAGCTTCCTGAGTGCTGGGATTGCACATGCACAGCACCACACCCGCCATAGTTTGGATCCCCCAAAGGCCATATAATAATGTCTGGGTTTCTGGCTTGGTCTGAGGAGATGATAGACCCTTTAGTACAGACTTCAGTCATCTAGTGCAGACCATCTGACTGATATGGATCCACAATGGATTCTGAGTGAGTTCCAGGTCTTTGATCTTTGACTGGCTCCTCCAGTTCTCCATCAGATAGACTGCCATCCTACCTTCTCCCACACCTGACTCTACAGAAGGCAATTGTAAGCCATACGTACAGATGATATAGAGATACAGATTAGATATCTATGTATAGATAGATATGCCTCTAGTGGACCTCACTGATACAATGTTCTTGCTTATTTTTATGTTTCTAAAAAAACTAAGATAGAAAAATCTTATTAATAATACTCAGATTTGTCATGTATCATTTTGTCATTGTATGCTTGTGAACCTTTCATAACAATGGGGTCATATGGTATCAGTGGACAGTGTTCCTGCTCAGAGGTAGAAATAACAGAAGAAAGATTCACTGTATTGCATTAAAATATTCAGGGCCTGAAAAAAGGGTATTTTGTTTGGTCTAAAGTCTGTATTTCATTCTCTCAAAGCATGCTAAATAATCACAAGTGATAGAAGTCTTCTTAACTGGTATGGAATCTAATGATACATCGTGTAGATTTTAATTATATGACCATTGAACTTCTGCTACAGTTTCTATATATTTCCTTTTCTCTACTGAGCTAAGTAACAAATAGCACAGATAATAGCAACACAGTTTCCTATAATGACATAAGCTTATTTCTACATTGTTATCAGCCTGCTAGGCCAGCTGTGAGTTGACTGTTTGCAACATGTCATCCTCATTGCAAGATGAAAGTGGTGGCAATAGTCATTATTTGTACTACACTCCTCTCAAATGAAAAGGAAAAGTGTAAAGGATAAAAGTCACGGAAAGGCTCTTAATCTTTCTATGAGAATATTAAATTCCTGAAATCTACTGTTTCAAGGCAGTTCACATTATTAAGACAAGTCAACCGCACGAGGAATTTTATTCCCTTCGGAAAGACGCTGAGAGTCAAGACAATAAATACTTGAGAACAATAGTAGATTGTATGGTCAATGTAATCATTCTTTGGATTTATAAGTTAAGACTTTACTCATATCTCTAGGGAGGAGATACAGTTTCATCTTTAGTATGTAGATATTATCACTTACTGATCTGGCAGTCTGGAAAAGGATTGATATTGAGCACAACGGGGGACCAGAGTTGTGCGACTTCTGCTGGAGATGAAGAAAACTCTCATATTGAAGCATGCCATTTGGATCTGTACTCTGAGATGAAGAGATAAGCAGAAAATAAACAGAATTTGGAGGAAAAGAAAACTATCAGTTAGTTTGACCTCAATACGCCGAGACTGGTCCTGTCAGCTTGCAGCCGTAAGTAAGTTTCTGTGTCAAGCTACGCTTCCCAGCCCTTGTGAAGTTCTCTGAAATGCTGCAGGCTATGTTGTGAGCATGTCCATTCAAGATTGTGATTGACAAGCTTTTTCTATGAAAGGTAGTAAATATTTTACTATTTGTGAGGCACAGTGTTTCCGGCTGAACTATTCAACTTTGCTGCCGTAGTATGAAAGCAATCATAGGTGATAAGGATGTAACATTTTAGAAGAATAGGTAAAAGACTGCAGGGTTAAGGATAGGCTTCTCCTGATTTGGAGTAAATGGTGTTCTGTGCTTAAGTCATAGGTTTGCGCATCACCTGAAGGGGCGGTTAGCAGGAAATACAGTACAGTGCAGTGGTCAGTCTAGAGTGACCATGGAAGGTTGGCAAAACAGCCAAGCTGTGAGGATTGTTGGAGATACCACAGAGGGCCGAAATCAGATCCTAAGCTAGCCATATCATTTAGAATTTAATAAGTTCATTTCCTTTCTAGTGTGTTATCGCTTTCATGGGTAATGTTCCACAAAAACTAAAATGTTCTGAGATACTTTTAATATTTTCATCTTCTTCTGAAGCCTACATGTCATGCATGTACCAGTTAATTGGTGTACATAGTCCAGAAGTGTCAACAGTTTTCACTATGAATCATATAATTAACCAGATTATCTGTTAATAAATTGATCTGAGGTGTTTATGTTGTTGCTCTGATGTGGTTAATATAATGCAAGATATCACAGGACAGTTCACAACAGAAGGAGCAGATTGGACTGAGTCAGATGGGAATGACTGAGAGACCACACATGTTGGCTGGTGTTTTATTTAGGATTTCCCTTGAGGTAACAAAGCCACCTCTTCAGCAGTACTGAAGCAAGTGCTGTTCATGGACTGTGCCCATGCTCAAGGGTGACCATATTGCCAGAAGAGGCTGCTGTTACAGGGGCCAAGACCTTGGAGCAGCAGTGTTTGCTCTTACCTCATCCTCTCGTCACTTTGATGAAGCTTGCTTGGTCTGCTCTCTCTTTGTCTGGCAGCTTCGCCTTTCCCCCTACAGACCGAAGTATCCTCCTTTTAAACAAGAGTCACTGGCTGAGTCCTGGTGCTGGCTGCTGAGCTTCCATGAGCCTAATGCATTCAAGTGGCCAAGGAACAAGCTTTGAGAGCACAGCTAACTACTGGGAAGGGAACGACCTGTCCCTAGGTAATTGCCTTTTTCCTTTGTACTCTTGTCCATGAAAAGGGCTGGCATGACGAAAGACTGTGTTGTGAGATTGTTCCTGTTTTTATACTAATAAAATAATTTAAAATGATGACTCAGTAGAAACACAGTTTTGAGCACAAAGACTCTTGAAGGCTTTCAAGTCCAGCTTTTAGAATTGAACTAATGAAAATAATCATTTTAGATTTTAAAAGTTAATCAAACTGAAAGGATGTAATAATGTTGTTTGCTACGGGTGCTCTCACCTTTCTTAGTATTTTTCATCACAGGACCAGTGAATCTATTAAAATAACATCAGGATTTTTAGTTCTAGAAGACCAGTATAAAAATTCAATATGCACTAAATGAAGAACTCACAATTAGTAGTTATAGCCAGAATTTCAAGCTTTTCCTACTGCTTTATAAATCATGAAGATTTAAACAGAACTAAACCATGTAACTTTAATTTTAAAACACATTATGTTTAATAATGATATTCTCCAAATTTTTATCTATGCTGACAGAAAATAAATATTCAAGTAGCATGAATCCAAATTTTATAACTGAATATTTCATAGATTATAAAGGATAATTTTATAGACTTGGACTAAACACTTTGGTATTTGTAAGCCATCTCTATATTTCTATATTTATGTAAATCTGAAATTCTTTTCTAGAATTTTCATGTATGCTCTTTTTTATAAAAGCCCCATTATCCAAATTATTTTAATCACATCATTTTTAAAGATGAAAGTACATTACTTTTCACTATGTCAGAAGTTTATAAACTCTTATGGGACTTGGGCAGATCTTAGTAATGCTGCAGCTCCAGTGACAATGTCCCTTTTAACTTTCTTGCTTCATGTGTTCTTTCTTGTCTTCCTCTTCCCAACTTACAACACCCAAAGTCAATACGAGAGCACTAACCAGTTAAGAGAATTTCTGTTTCAGTCATTCTTCCTATTAACTCATACTACAGCAACCGTAAATTATAACAAAGTCAGATAGTAACCTAAAATAATTACCTCACTCTGACACGGCTATTTTAACACACATTATAAGATAATTAACTCAGATAAAATAGACAAATTTATCTGTGAATCTTTTGGAGACACTTTTTTTTTTCTCTGACTGTTTTTACTAATAAACCTTAATGGGATACTACTAAGATCCTGTATGGTATGCTTACTGAAAAAATATTTCTAATTATCTATATGTGAAAGTAATTTAGTGGTTATGAATAAGTTCTTTCCTTTGGCACTGTAAAAAAGAGAAAAATGAACATTTTAAATGTTCTAAACAATGGAAGAATTTCTACAACTATGTTAAAGAATAATACTAAAGCAAAATGATCATTTTTCCCCTTCTGGTTTGTTGTGTTTTTCACCTGTCCTAGCCCCAGTACTGAGAAATGCAGAAATGCAGAACAGTGACTTCCTATGAGCAACTGGATGTATTTTCCCACATGTGGCAAACTACATTGCATTGATGATTGATGAAGACTTCATCTGGGTAAGACTTACCTGACCACAAAAGCTCTTATAAAGCTCAAAATCTGAAAATTCCTTATCCACTCAGGTTTATTGTTAGAGGGAGTCATAAGTATGGAAGGAAGAATGGCCAGCCATTCTTCAAGATGGAGGAAAGGAAGTCATTCTTCAAGATGGCTGGCCATTCAAGATGGAGGAAAGGAACCAGGAACTAAGAAATCCAGGGCTGCTTTTTGAAGATAGAAAAGGCAAATAATATATTTTTACCTATAGTTTCCTGAAAGGAATGTAGTTGAAGTGATGCCTTGCTTTTAGCCCAGGGAGACTCAAAGTGAACTTTTGACTTACAGAAGTAACAGTAAATAAATTTGTAGTGTTTTGTGATTATTTGTTAGAGAAGCAAAGTAAAACCAGCCACTTTCCGTAGCTGTTTTCTTGATTGTCCAATTTGCACTTTACTGCATGATGTATTAAACTTAGCACTCTTCAATATTTCATTTTGTTTTCTTTCCCTTGTTTTAATAGGTAGTCTTCATTTTTACATGTCTCTACAGTAACATAGTTGTGCCAAATAATTTCAACCATATCCTATGACTTGCATATTTTTCTGATGTAAATAACACCCCATATATTGCTAATTTTAAAATAACTTAGATATTTTTGACTCATCATAAAAATGTATTTATTTCATTTAGAACCCAACAACTTCTGCCCATTTCAGTTTATATTCTGTATCTACACATACACTCCATTTAGCTTTTTCTGAATCAGCAACCAAGAGGGCTTGAAATGGAAAAAATTACCTTTTCTCCTCCTCATTTCTAATCTATATGAGTATACAATCTTTTTCAATAATAATAATAATAATTATAATAGTGAAATAAAACCAAGAACCTTGAAAAGCAGTAGTGTATGTTAATAAAGGCAGTCTCCTAAAATTGCCATGATCTTGTCTACTGAACCATCACCCTGTCAAATGAAAACCACTATAAAATATAGTATGTGAGTCTTCAGAAACTGGTGAAACAAAATGAAACAGTACCCTCAGTCATCTCCGTATGAAAAATGTCTTCATAGAAAAAAATGGGATTATCGATTTTTTCTTAATATTTTAAAAAGTAGTCAATCATGTATGTGACTATTTCTTGGTGTATAATCAGTGTCTTCACAGTTAGATAAGGTTACTATCTTTCTCTTAATTGAAATATAACTCACTTATGATAAAAACATATTAATGGTTTATGTCTGTGAGTTTTGAAAACTACATTTTTATGTATGTACCAATATAGAACTTTGCCACTGTCCCCAAACTCTCTCTCTTCCCTTTTCAACTAATTCCCCTGTGTTAGAGGCAGAGGTGCTCTCACCTCTATTACATAGGTTTCCTGTGTCTATTTTTTCATGTTTTTGGACTACATGCACAGAAAATCATTTCAAGTGTTCTCCTTTGTGTCTCACCTTACATAATTTTAGTAGTCAATATTATTCAGATAAGTGGGGCACAGAAAGGAAAGGAAGGTACAAGGGGGGAAGGAGGGAGAGAAGGGCAGAGACAGAGAGGAGGTGCTTTTTAATGGGAACTGAAACATGTAATTATGGAGACTGAGAAGTTCTGCTAGCTGCTGCTTGCAAGCTAGAGACTCAGGAAAATTGTGAGACTAATTATGTTTAAGTTCAATGAAGTATGGAAGCCAATAATCTAAGTTTTGGAGTCTGAAGCTCCAAGAACCAGAAGCTTTGAAACCTCAGGCAAGATAGATGTCCCAGCTCAAAGAGAGGATGTGAGTTTGTCCTCAACCTGTTTGGGTCACAATGGATTGGATGATGTCCACATACACTGATGATGGTGAATCTTCCTAATGATCCCAATGTTGGGCTCTTGGAAAAACACAGATACACTTAGAAATAGTGTTGGAGGCATCCCTTGGTGCACTCAAGTTGACACTTACCATTACCTTAAGAATGAAGCATGTTGTTTTATATGTTATATTTGTCACTGAGTAATACCGTTTACATGACTATACTGTACAGTTGCCAACTGTATTTTGATGGACATTAATTTTGCTTAATTTTAGCTAGTGTGAATCAGGCTGTTACGAGCCTTCTTGCACAAGTTTTGGGTTTATATTTGAGTGTTTTCTTTTTGGATACCACTTGGGCTTATACTCGGTGTTTTGGTAGAAATGTTTACTAGAAATGAAGGTAATAGAGGGTTCCAGGTGTCTCAAGTTTATGAGCACCACTTGCACAGTTAGACTTTTTGATTCCAGTTATTAAAATGGCATATTATTGTGGTTTTAATTTCCCATTTCTATAATGAAAAACACTATTGTATATCTTAGTAAAATGTCCTTTGCAGGGCACTTTTTATATGAATTATTTCTTTTGTTGTGATTTGTGGGCAAATTTGAAAGTATACTCAATACATTTCCATTATTATAAATTTGATTTCAGTATTTTCCTTTCCTGAAATGCATGTTTATTTTACCAAGAATGTATGCTGATGATTGGAGAATTTTATTTCCATAAACTTTAATGTACTATTTTGTCTCTTTTATAATTAAGGCTTTTTAGATCACGAGAAAGAAACCTTTGCCTGAATCAGTGTAGGTTGCTTGTCTATATCACCGTGCTTACACCAATGGAAACCTAGAGTGTTGGTCAAACATTATTCTGAGTGTTTCTGTGAATTCAATGACATTCACATTTCAGTCTGTTTCTAAGTGAAGCAGGATATATCCTGTAAAGTGGATGGACCTCACCCTATCTGAAGGCTTTAGTAGGACAAGAAGTTGACTTCTAAGAAAGAGAGATTTCTTCCTGCCTTCACACTGTCTCAGATCAGTAGATTGAGACTTACCAGCCTGCCCAAACTCATGTGTTAAATCTGTAACACACACACACACACACACACACACACACACACACACACAACCAGGCCCTACTTCTCAACAACACATTCAGCTACTGAACTCATTCACGGCTGAATCTCTGATGATTACAGCACTCTCATGATGCAATCACCTCTAATTCACGCCACGTTAGGGGAAATTTTACATCTAAGCATGATCCAGAGGTAAATTTTTGTCATTCCCTTGTTTCAAAACATAAGTATAATCTCCTTAGGAAACTGCATTCTCTGTTGGAATGACAGCAAGTTGTTTAAAAATCAGCTACCCACATAGATATGTAATTATTCCTGTTTCTGTTGTATTTCAATGATCTTTAGGGTTTTTTAAAATTCTATTACAGTACTTTTAAATAAGTAGTTTTACAGCAAGAATTATTGTTAAATACAGGATGCCCTCCAATTTTTCTTTCGAGATTGTTTTGAAGATTCTAGGTACCTTTGTTTTCCACAGGCAGTGTCAGAATTTTTGGTTGTGTTACGTTGAATCTAAATGTTACTTTGTAGAAAATGCTCATATGAACATTATTGAATCTTATACTCTATTAACACATGATAAAAGTTTTCAGTATTCTTCCCAAATCACGTTCACCAATGCATTGCAATGTGGAGGTCTTGAAAAATTTCTGTTGGATTTATTCAAAGACATTTGACGTCTTCTCATGCTAATGTTTCTATTAATTTTATTTTCCACTTAATAGATATATATATAATTCATAGATACATGATGCAGAAATATAAATAAACATGACTAATCTATTTTTTAAAAGCAGCTGTATTTGATGGTTGCTGGACTACAAACCATCTCTGTTCTCTTGAGAGTTTCTGGCTTTTCACATCAATGATGTTTTTACCCTGTTTCATTATTCTCTGAATACTGGGTGTACAATGAAGATCAAAATAAATTACTTTCTAAATAAATACTTAGAAAAGTTTTTGCATCTACTTTAGGGAGTATATTAGTGTAGATTGCTTATCTTTTAATATAAGAGATATTTAGTTCAGTGTTGAGCTTTGAGGCAGCTCTAATTAGTTCTAGTTACAGCAAAGTTTTGAGACTCAGGCCTTAGTCAGGGACTGAGATCTTAACATGCCAACACTTAAGCAGTCTCCTCCTGCTTTAAGGTTTTGGTGTCAGCTTTCTGTATGATGGGAGATACTCTCTCTCTCTGCTCTCTTCTGTTCTCCAGTCCCTCTCCCTCCTCCTCTCTCTCTTCCTATATGTCGGACAATCAGTTTTTGAGTCACAAGAATGTTCTTGTTCTCCAGTTCCATGTCTGGCTTTCTAGATAATAGATTTTTTCCATTCAGTGAGAAGCCCAAAGCTTTCCAAAAGCTTTTACTGCTTCTTCTGTGATAGTCTGGAGTGGCTCTTGAATTTCTCCTGCAATCCTGCCCTAGTACCTCAGGCTAGAGCTTACCAGGGATACTCCAGACTAGCTTTACTTATAGGGAATGAGGTCACACTCCCAGCTCTCCAGGACTGTTGCATTCCAAAGATTGATTTCTGCTAAAGCCTCATATGGAAGATTTAATTGATAAGGGTAACCTCCAAGTGGCTAAGACATCTCAGGACTTCAACAGAGCAATGCAACTACAAATGTCCATGTACAGCAACGATTTTCCTGAGTACACATTTTTAGATGAGTGGAAACTTGTCCTTTGATTACAAAGGCTAGTGTAATTTTAGTGTCATTCCTCCCTGAATATTCAGTTTACTTCATCTAATAATTTCTTTCTGGTCATCTAACTCCTACTTATCAAAGCAGATATTTCAAGGTCTGTCTTTCTCCTTACTAATTTTCTGTGTTCTTCCATTGCGACACTTTAATAAATGTGTAGTGTTAATACCCTGAACTCTGTAGTCTGGTAGTTTTGATTTGCATCCTTTGATAAAAATTATAGGAAGCCACTGATTGGATCCACCTTCTGGACTACCAGAGCAAACACAAAATGGAATTGCTCACACTGAAATTTTATTCCACTAGGTCAAAACTAAGTTGTTTATCTGTTCTACCAAGAAATCAGAAGAAAGAATCAGTAAAAGCCAAATCTCCAAACAAGCCTGTTTTAACTGGTGAGATAAGAAAGTCTCCTTTTCTTTAAAAGTTACA